CGCCAACGATCGAAGATCAGGGACGCTGCCGTTTTCGCCAAGGAATCGAAGATAAGGTGGGCCGGACACGTCATGCGATTTTGCGATGACCGTTGGACCAGAGCGGTTACCGACTGGATCCCTCGGGACGTCAAACGAACACCTGGACGACCGCCGGCCCGATGGTCAGACTTCTTCACGAAAGCTCTGAACGAAAGGAATGAAGGACTTCGTGTCCCTCGAGCGAGGAGGGTCCACTGGACAACTCTTGCACGCGACAGGGACGAATGGAGACGTTGCTGGCGCCCGCTCGAGCAATTCGATGATCAACGGGACGACAGTGAGGTGAGGTGAATAAATAAATAAACAAATGTGTTGCATACGACAGCCCCCGGTACCACGCGTTAGGTAGTTTCAGAACAGGGGTAAAAATCTTTGCGGGTCAAAAAACCTCTTTCGACAACTTTTCATTCATATCCAAAATTTGGACCCAACGTCGATATTGTGGGCAGTCACATATCCATCGAGAAATTATCGAGGTGGGATGGAAAAAAAAACTTTCTTTGAAAAGAGAAATACAGCGTCTGCCTCACTTTTTGCGATATTCGAGAATTTACATAGTGTCTTTCGACCAAAAATGTTCGCTGTTGCACGTAGGACTGCACTAGGATTACTGGCTGGGAGAAACACCAGCGATTGGTTGTTTGCCAACTTTTCCAACTTTTCGAGACGTTCGATCCATCGCTAATAGTAGTAGGGGTAACTGCAACATGCAGAGGAAAGACTGAGGTTAGCTTTTAGTTTTTTTTTCCGACGAGCAAGCATCTCGTATTTGTTTAGTTCACCTTCAAGGATGACTTCGCATTCCGTGAGTGGAAACATTAGGACACTTGTAGAATGAGTGTTCCCTTCTGAACGCCAATAGAATTTTATATTGAAAAAAGCATGATTATAAAGAGCAAATTCATCGCGTCTAGCAAGGTTCAAACCATGGTCTCATTAATGTTGGGCTCAGCACTACCTCCTGGCTAAGCCGCTGCTTGCGGCATCTCACTGCCGGAGTTACTTACAAGGCTCTTCCACTAACTAATCGTTGTTCTCTGTTCAGAGAACAAAGAACAGCGGCCGATTAGAAAATGGTTTCTGGTATGAGTGAGTGGTGAGATCTGGTATGAGTTTGAGAGTTTGGTGGTGTCGCCTCTGAAAAGACTGTACAGTTGTTCAACTATGATTTATTAAAAAAAAAAAAAAAAAAAAAAAAAAAAAAAAAAAAAAAAAAAAAAAAAAAAAAAAAAAAAAAAAAAAAAAAAAAAAAAAAAAAAAAAAAAAAAAAAAAAAAAAAAAAAAAAAAAAAAAAAAAAAAAATGAGCCCGCACGGCCCCCTTTTTTGTAGGGTGCGTGTGAAAAAATCGGGGTTTTCTCCCCCCAAAAAAAAAAAAAAAAAAAAAAAAAAAAAAAAAAAAAAAAAAAAAAAAAGGGGGGGGGGGGGGGGGGGGGGGGGGGGGGGGGGGGGGGGGGGGGGGGGGGGGGGGGGGGGGGGGGGGGGGGGGGGGGGGGGGGGGGGGGGCCCCCCCCCCCCCCCCCCCGCCAACCATACAAATCATTTTTTTATTGCGAAACTTGTAGTAACACGGAACACCCTATAATATCGGATCAACAGGGGCTAGAAGGTGCGATATCCAAAGCTGTTTCTTACTGTGAATTCACTGGGTTTGTCATATGCCTGGAAATTCGGCCGCTGTTCACACGAATTCTAAGAAACAAATAATCAAATATATTACTGCCTTAATCGTAAGTGGCATGCATCCGCTTGCAGGGAACCGATGACATAGAGATTACCCGTCCTTGTTGGTGGATGTTTCTTAATGCAGCAAGTTGCGCCAGACACACCACAACTGCTGGCCATGTGAACTGCGCCGTCGACCGGAGTAGAGAGTGAGAATTTTTGGGACCCATCTCCGGCTCTGTCTTGCTGCACCTAGCCCCAATGTGATGGGAGTATTCAGTACTTCCGCTTACATTGATTGGTAGCGCGTCAATTTGAGCAACCTCTAAAACGTCATGCATGAAATCGACAGTTCACAACGAAACACAACTATTCCTTTGAAGGAATCCTTCACGGTAAAATCACGATTCCATTTCAGCCATAACTCACTGGCTCGAGACTCGTCATTAAGATTGAAAAGAAAGGAAAGATGCAAATTATTCGGCGAAATCTTCGAAAAACCGAAAGGGCTGCTGCACGTCCAAAGTACCGCTGCACGTCTGTAACAATGCTGGCGATAGGAATGCTTCCACTTGGTTTTGGAGTGCCTTCACTAGAAACTCTTTCTGGCCTTTTGACTTATTGCATTAACATCTCTCAACTTCTACTCCATCCTATTCTATCGATCGATTTGTCTCCACTCCAAAAAATCGCATGCTCTAGGTCGAAATCGCACGCTTTAACCCGATTCTTTCATTGCGTCGCCTGATACGTAGCCGCCCAAGGCGGACTTCTTTCCATGCCCCGCCTTTGGCTCCGCGCCTTTTACCTTCGATTGTCCATAGAGTGTAGTTTTTGTACGTTTGTTTCTCTTCGGAAACCGAATCTTCATGCGTGAAACTTTGTGCTTGTCCTAAAAAATTAAATAAATAAATTTGTTTCCAGTGCTCACAGCTGACACTTTCGTGTTGAGGAAGGACGCAAGATTTTTCCGCGGAGGATTATTTGCAATCTCTAAAGTATTGTGGGCTGTGTTCGCGTGCTTCTCAGTCGTTGTATCCGGTGCACACTGTATCCGTAGAGACTGTATAGTGCTGAATTTCATTCAAATGAGGAGTCATTGTGCATCGGCTGTGTCCAAGTGCCATTTACATTTTCCTGGCCTTAGCATACTTTTGCAATTCCAATCTATGGCGCTGAGATCTCAGCGAAACTAATTTGGTCAGCGAAACTAATTCAGTTCCAGGGTAAGGTTGGATACACGGCATGAGCTCGTCATTGCTAAAACTGTTGGGCCAGTGGTCCAGTGCTTATTCCAATCAGTAGTAAAGAAAAAGTCAAGTGGTCGGTAGTTCGTGAAATATGATACAGATAATAGTTTATCGTCGTCGTTGATCCATTTCGATCATTTCTTAATCATCACGTTACGCACATGACCTTCGGAAACCTCCAGGCTAATACTCCTGAATCCTCCTCCTACTCCTTCTTCAACCTACCAGCAAAATGGCAATCGTAATGACAACAATCTGAAATTTTATCTGAACAGAAGTCGGACAGGAAGTATGGAACAGCTCAATATTTCCGCTCGAAAAAGAAGTATTTATTTGTGATAGTTGCTAACAGATCACAATTCATGACCCGATAACAATACTCAAACTGAACACAATTATACGTTTTAAGCTCGATTGTTGAAGTTGGTGCTGCGCACCCAGATACCATGTTTCAGATGGAAAAGCTCTGCAAAACATGGCGATGATGGAATCGTCCCGCAGATTCGAGAACAGCTCTGCAATAGTCCCCCCGTTTGTGCGCCTCAGAGAAGCTTTTTTGGTTAGCATTCTTCTCTTCTTGACTTGAAAATCCGCGAATAAATGGTGTGCGAGAATGTTATTTTATCATGAAGATTTTCAGATCTCGCCAAAGTACAACTTGGCCACATGCCAAATTGAGAAAATTATGAGCACTTTCCGCTCTGCAATGTTCTGCTACTTAAATCGTAAAGAGGATTTCGTGGCCGCTGGACGAAACATCAGCACTGAACATTGGCTAACTGCGTGCGTTTTCATACATTATTTATGTAGGATTAGGCTTGCACAGTAAGTGATCTAGCCTTTACAAGTTGTGGATACCAGGGCTCGTTATTTTGTAGCTAACAGGGTTATACAGTATATTGAATAGGCAGAAATGTATAAATATTGTATCCACTAGCCAAGACAAAGTGAGTACTGAAGAAGTGGCAGAATATTGGCTGGAATACGATATTTTTTGAAAAGTGTCAAATTTGTGTGGTTTCGACGGTGTCATCTCTTTGATTCTCGTAACTCCTCCAGCTGTCATCTTTGACCATCATCTAACAATCTTCTCATCTAGAATTCTAATCTTTGCACCACTTAAGTATCTTTTCCAGTACTAATCCTACGAAGAATTTACAAATAGTGGGAGCTGTGCTGCCAATGCGGTTTGTGTCCTTCCTCTTTTATGAATTACTGGTTTGCCGTGTATGTTTGTACGTTGGTACGTCAATCGATAAGCCCGACTCTGGTATTCGTCTCCGGCAAGCCAATAAAAACGTTTTAGGCTTACAAGCAATGACTTAACGTCGCAACACTTCGGCACGAGTACGTCGCATGTCCACACGGCTAAGAGTAGGTCATTCTTGGATGGACAGGTTCGGCCCCCATGGTCACGATTTGGCACTGGCTCACCTAGGCAGTGTTAGGAGTAGGGAGCAGCACGGATAAATCAACCGCAAACATCTGCAGTTTAGAACAACCAAGGCTTCGAACAATATGGCAAGCAGTGAGAGGGGGAGAAATTTTGGCTAGCGCAGTATGCTTTGGATTCTGAACCATGGCAACATGTTCTCTACAGAAAATGAAATTTGATCCTAATTCTATGCCTTGAAACTGAGATATTGTCGTCTCTCTCAAGCTCCTCAAGGGTTTCAGTTGCATCAATTGGCATGTGATCTCCGGCAAGAAACACAAGCAAGAAGACTGACGTAGTACGAAAGAATGATGAAACCCATGGTGTCGCCGCACATTCAACATCGTTCATCTCATTGACATCAACAAGAAAAGAGCTTTTTGCTCCAACGTGAGAGTGTTGAAGGCGCAACATAATGAAACGAACCTCTTCGTTCTGCGCCGTCAACACACTTATCTTAAAACCACCACTATCATCAACTGCGTTCTGCAGATAGTGAAGCCGAGTATAATGGTTTGAAGGAAGCGATTACGATAAAGAGGGAGCGCATCGGGGAAGCATATGCACCACACGAAGCAGTTACTTGGCTGCCAAGGAAGCGAGTGTGGCGCTTCACGACGAAAGGTGCGCTGGTTGCTGAGCAGGACTTCGAAAGCACTCCGCCCCCAAAAGCGATCCGCCCACTAGTTTACTTGGTGATTTGGACGAGCTGCGTTGCCAGCAGCGGCACAACTGGAGCAACTCGATTGGAGCGTGGTTTGGCATGGTGCCACCAAACGCGTTGCGTGAACTCGTTCATACGTCCGCTTCCTGAGCTGTTACCTATTTATGGATGGAAACCGGGGTTCCATTTTGCGCTTTGTTAACGGATTCCTATGCTTTTGCTTTTACTACTGGCGTACAATTGAGCACCACAACGTCTCCTCTAACCCCTCTTGGAACATTTCGTAATCGATGCATTTAAGATAACTTGGTGGATAACGTCACAGGGGAAGTCTTACAACTTCTCTGCAAATACTTCAATGCTGGGCTTCGTAAAGAATTGAAGCCTCGCCAAAAGAAGACAGTTTCATGTAAGAGTGAGCACTTTTTCCTAAACAAGAGGGCAACAGTAGGGATATAGCTTTACTGGCTCCCAACGCGTGGAAGCCCGATAAAGCAGCGAATGGATCTAGATCCATTTTGCTTTTCTCTGTTTCTCTTTTTTGTGTTAGGCGCCTTTCAACCGGAGAACTTTTCGGCTGTACGAGTTTTTTTAAGCATGCGGAGCGATAACTTATGGAAAAAATGTGACCTACAAAAAAATGCACAACAAAGAGGGGCAAATCCACTGAGGGACCAAGTCGTAGCACCTAGGCAATCTTTAGTAGTCAGCCGCTTAGCAGAGTAGAAAACTTCACGCTTAAGCGCAGTCAACATCGTTGTTCTGCCCTTGCTTCTCCAGCGCGGGAATCGTCTTTGAGAAAAATGAGTCACGTTTTGCTGGTTTCTGATCGTTCTCAGTCGCGCTCATGGCACGTCTGCTTTCATTCCGACGTAACTCATTTTATCGCGCCATCGCACCACTGTCTTATTGGGTTGTCTCATAATTCCTGTCTCAATTTCGACACTTTTGTTTATTCAAGTTTTATCTCTTCTAGGAAACAACTGATCAACAGCATAACCACCATCATGGTCACTGATGCGTGCATTTGCTAGGAACGTTTGGAAGCTTCCAGCCCAGAATGAAGGAAGCTGGGGGTTGAAGAATTTGGAGAAGTCGTTTTTGGGGTTGTCCGCAATCTTTAACTTTCTTCTCTGGCAGATGCTTATTCAGGGCGCAGGGGAGGCGATAGTCCGATAGAGCGATGCCAATGCTATATGGTGGATGAGGTATCGTGGCCCTGGCTATCTCCCTCAGAACGTGGTGAGTTGGCATTGCAATGTGAGGTCTGGCGTACATTCGGAGAAAGGAGATCTGAGACGTTTCTGACGATTCCCTCGCAACCCCGAAGCCAGCCTAGAGGGCTATTCCGCGCTGACTTTAGCAATGCTTGTCTTCATACATTGAAGTGGTTCCCAAACCAGGCCACCCAGCGAATCCAACAAACGAGAGCGATATTCTCAGAAAACGGAGTTCGGGCTTTGGTTGAGCTGGTGCTTCCTGGCTGCGAGGCAGCCATAACGTGCCGCATGTTGTTGTCGCAGTGGACTCATGACTCATCTCCACTGGTGACCGATTAGGGAAGGCTCTGCTTTTGCCGTCCCAGAATGGAATTTTCCCCAGATGGTCAGGCGTGCTTCTCGCTCATGGTCGGCCGGACCATAAGGTTTCCATCAAAACTTCATTCTGCTGCAGTTCTTTCCATCCTGATGCTGGTGCATCGGCTGCGCCCAGGTATCTGCTACAATACCCTGGTAGCAACGTCCGGAGGCACTCCCAATTTAGGGTGCAAGGGGCGCTCATCAAAAATGACCGCAGGCCCAGTATGAGGTTGAAGTTCACAGCTCGTTTCGTCTTTGCCGTTGCGATTGGACCACTAGCTCAGTACCCTATCAGTAGCAGAGACTAAGCCAAACACAGCGCTGATTTTCCTTGCAATAGAGTTTATTTGTGGATCGCAAAACATAATAATTCATTATTGTCACTGACGTATTTTTATATCCAGTTCATAAACCCGTTCTTGGATGGCTTGCTTCTCGGGAACTATCCTGTTGGCTCTTGAATCATACTTCAACATGGTCTGCAGACAAGAAATTTGAATTTGAATAAATTGAGACAGGAATTAATGTAGACATGGTCATGATCTCTACTGTTTCCCTAATTAGGGAGAGCAATTCGAGTGTATGAACATCAACAAAGGTTAGGTGTGCGGGTCTTGTTTGACCTGGTGCTCGTTAAATGTGGGCTAATTATTGTCTTCGTTCGCGCAAGAACTCTCAGCAAATGATTATTTCAGTATTTCTTCAGTTCTTGTCAAGAATTATGCGATGATACAGCTTAATACGAAAGACCTTTCGACAGATTGTTTCCATTAAGTTTGGCTTGGAAGATATGAGTTCTATTTCGACTATCCCTGATGTCCGATGAACGCTGTCTCTAACTGATTCATAAAAGTGGATATGTCGACAGTGTTAATGTCCATGTGTTATCATCAAGGCATTTTTTTAAGATGCAAATATCGGATTCGCACTTTTCATACTAAGAAATATATTCTCTCGATGCTTGGTTTCCTTAACAAGCTGAATAGCAGTAGTGCATCAAACGTACAAATATTGGCAACGACACGTAATCCTTTTGAGAAATAAGAAAAAACGATATGGATTACACCATATACAGGTCCGAAACTGCGGATAATGCTGCTTGATTTATAGTAGATAATTATAGAAGGAAATTGAGAGAGCATGTTAATTTTGCAGTTCGGTATAGTGCAACGCAGAGGAGACCCCCTGCGTTATATCTGATATGCAAGCTGTATATCCTTTTTCAGAATTAGTCGATGAGGCGCGTCTGGTCGCTAAGCTCTATCTATGTCGTCTGCTAGCTGTCAGTATTCAACACCACATATAAAAAAATGTATAATCAGCACCAGGCTCTTCCTCATAAGCGTTATCATCCTCGACGGTTGCATGAACTATTCACATTTTGTGAAGCGCTGTGTGGTGTGCATAATTCATCAGGTCTGGCCGGAGATTTCAATGGTATCTCCGTTGAGGTGCCTGCCTGCCACGTACGCAGGGTCAATCGCTCGTTGCGCAAAAATTACGAGGGGGCCTATGTGGGCCATAGAGGGTCGGGGTGGCAACGTGACAAAGGAGCACGAACTTTCAATTACCACTGTAACTAATACTCATAGAGGACTTAATGGCGTAACCGAAAGCAGGAGATGTTGCTGAATGATTTCGTATTCCAGTGAGCATGGGCAAATAATTTTTCTCGTGATGCCATCATGCTTTCAAACCAAATCTGAGTGGCAGGGAATGCAAAAAAATTGGTGGATTGAATTCTAGAGCCCCAGAAAAATTCTGGCAAACAAAAGGGTTCCGTTCTGAAGCTTTTCAGGATGATCTAGCTAGACAATAGAAAGCCTGTTTGTTGACTCTGTCCGCCTAATTTGAGATCATTATCCGCTTCTCTAATTATTATCAATTTCGAAGGAATTCGTATTTGGTAGTGAGGGGTTCTGAAAAGCTCGGGGTTTTCCGTAGAATGGTGCTTAAAAAATCATGAGGAATAAAACGCCTGGCTTTTGAAGAGTGATGCTGCCAATGGGAATTCTATTATTTCAGGAAGCATTCATTTCACTCACGTATTTATTTAAATATCTGGCTATATACTTTCATTAGCTCTTAGTGAATCTGGCAAAACGTTAATTAGTGAGAAGTATAGCAAGTTTGATATACTATGATAGGAC